ATTATATAAAAAAAAATAATTCTCTAATTTCTAACCCTAATCCTAAATATATCTAGAGAAGTGACGATCACTATGAGTTATTTTGATTTTAATTCTATATATATAGTAAATTTATAATATAGACAAGCTATAAATTTTATAATATTGACAAGCTATAAATTTTTAAAATTTATTATTCTAGTATAGCAAAAAAAAATATATAATTACTATTTCGTTAGAATATTTTTCTTTTTTTTTATTATTCTTGAGCAAAGTTTCATTAATTAAAAAACAATTTTTAATTTCAAATATAATACAGGACTTTTTAAGCTTTATTTTTTACTTTTTTAAGCATATTTGTATATCTATTTATATATAAACAAAATAATTTTTTGTAATTATTACTAATTTTTTTGCTAGTTAATTTCTACTTTTTATTTTTAAAACATGACAACTTATTTTATTTTTGCTTAAAGTATATATAAGTTTAAGTTTTTTTTATTACTTTGTAAACCAACTACTTGTTAAGCTTTTCCATTCTTATTTAAAATACTTTAGTAATCATTTCTAGTAATTTTAATATTAAAATTAACAGATATTTAATTGAGTAGTATTTCTATAAACCAGGCAATAATATTTACAAATATATTTTTTAAATCTTATAAAGCTTAAAATTGTATATCTTTTAATTTTATATAAGAGAGTATTGGTTAAGCTTATTGTTATTTGTATTCTATCAACTTTTTTTTTAACTTAATAGTTTTGATTAAGTATTTTAATAATAAAATAATAAATTTATATTAATTCTAAATAGTTTTTTTTAGAATAAAATTTATATATACATCTTTTATTAAAGCTTTTTTTAATAATTTTCTTATTTTATTTTTGTTATCTACAAAAGTATTAATTTTTATCTACTAATTAATATATTAGAATTTTAATATCAATTATGCTATTGGCAAAAGATATTTGTTACTTGTTTTTAAATTTATTTAATAGTTTTGTCTATTAAATTATAATTTAAAGAAATATATACTACATGTTACTCTGATTATATCAATATTTTTGAAATATTAGTAAAAAAATTTAAAATATTAGTACAGTAAGTAATACTGATATTTTATATTAAATTTTAAAAAATATAAGTATAGAAAGATTTTACTATAATGTTATTATATCTAGATATTAGTATAACTAGAGTGATATGTATTAAAATAAAATTTTATTATTAAAATAAAAATTAATAAATTTTTAATATTATTTTATTAAGATTATAATACAAAGTGTAAAAAAACTTGTTTATTTTTTATTATTTTAATTTTAAAAAATAGGTCAAAAAAAAAATTTAGTATAATATTAGTTAATATTTAAGATGTTATAAAAAATTTTTATTTATTCAATTTTATTAAAATATATAAAGTTTAAATTTTTTAAAAAAGCTTGTTTTTTATTTATAAGAATATTTTTGTATACAAAAAAGCTGGCTTAATATTAACTTTTAAATTAGAAAGCCAAATATAAGCTAAAGCTATATATAACAAATTAGAAAATTATTTACTTTTTTCTTTTCAATAAGCATTAATTATATAATTTAAATTTTTAAATTTAAAAATATATGGATCTTCTTTAGTATAGCTAGACAATATAAAAATATTATAAGATTATAATATAAAAAAACTCTAATTCAAACCTTTAATATAAACTTAATCCTCACTCTAACTCTAACTATTTCCAAATTTGCTTAAATTAGGTTAAATAGTTATTTATTTATTTATATTATAATCTTAGAATAATTTTATATTGTCCAATTATACTAAAGATCAATCATATTTTCTTTTTTTTAATATTAAATACTAATTTTTTAAACTATTATAAAGTTTAACTTTTAATAACTTCTTTAAAGCAAAAAATAATAGAGAATCTTCCAACAAAATGTAGTTTGGCTAAATATTTATCAATTTGTTAAAGAGTTTTTTGATTTAACTTGTTTTAAAAAGTTATAATAATTTAAAGCTTTTATTTATAAAAAGTAGATGCATTTTGCTGTCCAGCACTATATAAACATTAATGCCTTCTTTTAGTAAATAATTTAGGCAAAAATATTATTAACTTCATTTAGTAAATATAAAAATTTAATTTTATTATTATATAAATCAAAGATTATTATATACAGTGGCACATATGTGCACATATAATTTATATAAAACATGACTATATATTTGTATTATATAATCCATCTACTTTTGTTGGAAGTCAATCTTCAATCAATATGCTCAATATTCTAAACTAATTAGGTTTTTTTGAAAATATTGCTATTTTCATCTATTTTGAAAACAGCAATAAAGATTTACATACATAATAAGTACTTGGTTATATTTTTTGATGCTGGCATCTGTAACTAAGGTTGATTTAGATATAATTCAATTATGATAAATTTAAATTAATATATGTATATATAGATTATTAATTGCTATAAAATTTGATAATATCTATAGAAATTTCACATCTTTAAATACCTTATAAGATTAATATTCCAATGTCAGTCAATTCGTGCTAGACAAGAAAGTAAAATTGAAATAAAATACGTAGGTCATTTTTAATAGCTCAAAAATAAACAATGAAAATAAATTTTATTGTTTAAATACAGTTACTAGCTCATGATTAGAAATATACTAATAAATAATAAAAGAATCAAAGAATGTTTGAGACAGAACTTCAATGAAAAATAACAAATAAAGTTGATTTTAAAGGCTTCAAATCTCAAGAAACAACCCACTAAAACACAAATGGTAAGAATTATAATATACTGTAAAATTTATAGACTAAGTGGGAAAAAAATATTTATCTTTATAATATAATGTGAATTAAATGTTGTAGTAGTTTTGATAACTATAAAATAATTAATATAGTTGCACCTTTCTAAATGCAGGCTACCAAAACACATTTTATATAATTTAATTTAAATCTAAATTTGAAAATTTGTTCGAGATTTCTACTGTACTAATATATTCTAAAATTTTTGAGTATCATATAGATTGCTGGTATAAATTTCTTGTGGATGTATTTGTTTAATTGACTCTGGTTTGATCTTTCAGCTTCCAAAAATTGTTTTTTAATTTCATTATCATTTTCCTGTTCCATTTCATTTAACCAACTTTGATTATTTCAATAATTTCTGTTGCAGTAGGTCGTTTATCAAAATCTTTATCCATACATTTCATAGCTAATTTAATATAACAATCTGGTCCTAAACATTTAGGTCTTGATCCACCGATAATTCTTGACACTAAATCACCATTAAATGGAATTCCATCAAATGCTCTTTGACCGGTCGAAATCTCAGTCATGATAACTCCAAGACTATAAATATCTGATGCCTGTATGTACGGTTGACCCACCAAAATCTCAGGTGCTATATACGGTAAAATTCCACAAATTTTTCCTTCTTTTATTTTCTTAGAAAGTCCAAGATCAGTGATATATGCGTTATTTAAATCTTCTTGCAAAATATTTCCACTGTGTAAGTCTCTGTGAACAAGTTCCTGCGAATGAATTGACTCGAGATCTAAAGCTATACAATTCAAGATACTCAATTTATCCTTCCATTCTAATTGTGATACAATCTGAATAACCATAATATTATCACCAGAATTATTTCTTGACACTCCCAAGCATTCCAAGAACGAAGGATTCTCGTAACCAATTTCGCAATAATTCTTCAATTCATGAATAAATTCTTGCACATTTTCATTTGAATCACAAATCACTTTAAGTGCAGCACGTTCCCATATACAGTACTATTAAATTTTATCAAGCCTAGTTGCTGAGTATACAGTTGCGAACTCTCCTTTTCCTTCTTCCTTAATATTTTTGAATTCATTATAATCAATCCAAGATAGTTTAAATCTTTCATCATCTAATATTCTCTTAAGTTCAGGGCTGATATGATCTGGTAATTTTTAGTTTTCAAAAGGTTTCTATATTTTCTGAACCAATAATTTGCACTCTGAACATCTCTTTTTGTACCGATACCGTTTCGATAACATTGGGCAACATTACACATTGCTGCTTTAGAACCTATATTAGCGGACTTTTTATAGTATTCAAATGCTTTATTATAATCTTGAATAACCCCTTTTCCAGTTTCATAACGAAAACCAACATTATACATTGCATAAGCATCACTCAAATCAGCCGATTTCCTACAATATTAAAATGATTTCTGGTAATTTGTTTTTACTCCAGTTCCATAATAATGACAAAGGCAAACATCATTCATCGCAACCGGATTTCCTAATTCAGCTGGTTTCATATAATATTCAAAGGCTTTCTTTTCGTTTTTGTTAACACCGATACAACGTAGATAGTTGTAACCAAGCTGACGAAGTTGTTTAGAGTCCATTTTTTAAGAAATTTTTTTTATAGAAAGAAAAAAACTTCATGCCTAAAAAAAACGTAAATATAATTGTCCGAGGATATTTATGTTTAATTAAAGTAGTACAAAAGTTCATCTATAATTACTTTTTTGATTAGCTTATTAATTATCATATATTGTCGTATCTAAAACGTAAGTTTGAAAACTTTTAAATATGCCTGAGTTAGTTTGAGTCGTCATTTTAATTAATACCGATACGTGACATGATTAAATAATTATAGTCACATGTTTGAATTGATTACGTTTAAGTGATAGAGTATGAGCTGAGAGGCAATATACTGTATAAGTATAATTAAAGATAATAATAAGATTTTTTTTTTTTATTTTTATTTTTTTTGTTAGCCTGATTTTTATTTTTTCAATTGTTTACACTCATTGCTCAAAAAGAAAGTGAAATAATTCAAATAAAATTGCAGCAATGCTGTAACTTTACGGTAAGTTGCAATCGTATGACAAGGTGAATGCTTTGACATCTTCGATGGTTGTTATTTTTATTCATAACATGAGAAATAAGTGAGATAAATTGTTATAATTTTTTTGCTAACAAAATCATTTGGAATCATAATGCAGAAAAAATATTTTAAAGATGTCATATAATGTGACAGCAACTCAATGTGTAAATGTTTAATCTGATATAAGTTACACTCTATGTACTGATAGTAAATATCGAAGATTGATAGTTGTAAAAGGTGATTAGACAAACACTAAGATAAAATGCCGATAATAACTTTAAAGACCTATAAAGCATGCTATTAAATTGAACTTTATTTTATCATAAAAAGAAAAATCAAAACGGTTCCTCTTTACCTCGCGTGCAAAGGCCTAACAGTAATCAATTTATTTTCATGGAACGCAGATTATATGAACGACTTCGTAATGTTACGGATCTTTATATTTTATTAATATTCAGATGGATCATGAGATCAGTATTCGTTTTTAGCCTAGCAATGAATTAATTGCGTATTCACTTGCATTGGCAAACTATTTATGTAAAATAGTAACAATAAGGTAAACCTGTTAAAATAAAAAGTAGAACTAATACAGAACTATATAGTACAATATACGATTATCTCAAAAGTATTGATTAAATCAAACTATATATCGTTATTACTCTATTGCAGACGGAAAGTTGTACCAGATGATGCGCCATAATGGCTGGACAGGATTCGAATTCGACGAAATGAATGATTTTTACATGCTAATAATAATATTATCGCCGTTGCCTTACCATTTCTACTATACTGTATTTAAAATAAAAAGTGAAATTGTTTCTTAGTAAAATACTAAATTCGTTGAAGTAAGTTTAATTACAGAAAATATCTAGGCCTCTAGATTTAATGTTATCTGTTTTACTACAATAAATCAATTTTCCGTTAACATTAAAATTTTATAATAATAAGATTCTTTATCATCGTTAATTGACATGCTGTTATTGTAAGTTTTTTTTTTTATCGAAATCCAAATAGAAGTGATTTGAAGCGAATCAATAATTGCGGCAAAGAAAAATGCAAAGAAAAATTGACAAATGAAATAGGTAAGAAAAAAAGCAAAAGAAAGAAATTTAATTATAAAGCACAATATATAAAAATGGTTAATAGATTAAATGTTTTATTCTTTTATGTAATTTATTCTTATATATATTATTGTTAGCAACTAGTAAATTTGGTTTATTAAAAATTTATTTGATTGATTGTATTAGCACCGATCTGGTACTTTACGCGCATTCTGGATGCTACGCTATTATCAAATCACGCAAAAGTCAATCTATTAAATTAGAGCTAACGTTAAAAACAAATAAATTAACAATTCTTTTACTTAATTCGGTATTACAGGATTTTTCGACCTATTTCGTTTTTTTAACCAATCAAATTCGTTTAAAATACCAATCAAATTCATGTTTCAATCAAATTAGTATATTTTGATCTATCGTTGATAACTCGCTATCTAGTGGTCCAAATTTGATAAAATTGGTACCATTCGAATCCTCTCATAAAGAGGATTAGAATGGTACCAATTTTATCAAATTTGGACCACTAGATAGCGAGTTATCAATGATAGATCAAAATATACTAATTTGATTGAAACATGAATTTGATTGGTATTTTAAACGAATTTAATTGGTTAAAAAAACGAAATAGGTCGAAAAATCCTGTATGATACCATATGATATTGGTTACACAAACTTGATTTATAATCTATTTTATATAAATTTGAAAATAGTTACACCCTACCCTTAAACTTCCTTTTTTTTTTCTTTAATTTTGAAGTTTTTTTGTTAAGTTTTTCTCTCTACTTGGGAAGTTATAAAGAGAAGATTTAGGGTTTAAAAAGAGAAGGCAATCATAATAGCCATAAATACCACTCAGTGATATATTAAATTTCTTTGTTTACAAGAGAATTTAGTATATAGAGAGAAAATTTTACTATAGCAGATTGCACATAGATAATTTGAACTTTTGTTATAAAAGACTTTTGTTACAAAAAGCCAGGTGAGTTAATACTTGCTACTTAGGAGTAATATATTTAGCCCAGTGTTAAAAATTAGCTCATTTATAAAATAAATATAAAATAGATATATAAGTTCCATATCTAATAAAGTATTGGCATGATTGTCGAATATTTAAAAAAAAAATAAAAATTTCTATACAATATATGATACAATCTATTCTGTCTATTTTTGGCAAAATTCTTGACTGAAGTTTTAAATCTTTACTTAGTAAATCTCTTTTCAGCTTCTAAGTAAACTTGTAAAGAAGTGTCATGTAATCAAAATAGTGGTTAAATGTTAAAATTGACCTAGTAGATTGCAAGATATAAGTATTTTAGTCTTTATAACTATATGCTTTTTTTTTTATTTATATAAAGAAGAAAACATATAATTGTGAAGACAAAAATATTTATATCACATAATTTATATAGCTGATTTTAATGTTTTAACTACTATTTTAATCGCAAGTTACTCCTTTATAGCCTTTATTAGAAGTTAGAAAAGGTTTACTTAGTAAAGAAAAATATTTTAATTAAAAAACTTCAAATTCAAAAATTTTACTATATTTTCTTTGAACATGTTCATGAACTTTGAACTGAATCTAAACTGAATATGAACTTGACTTAAAAGTTTAATACTAAACTAAACTAAACATAAACCTGACTTTTTGTAACTTTATTTAGCAATACAAATAGTAAAGGAGTTAAAAAAGCTAATAAGTTTTATTCTTAAAAAAGAAGGTTAAAACTTGAATTATTTTCCAAGTATTGTCAAGTTGATACTAATTGATCATCAGCAAGCTTATATTTTTTTGTTGCAACTTTTTTGAACTAATAATAAATTTAATGCTGAGTAATATGTAAAAATTCATCAAGCTGCTACTTTTTAATATTATTGTAAAGTTGTAAAGCCATTAATAGATTATTACTAGGAACCAGAAACTGGTGTAAGTCTGGAGCAACAAATTTTTAAAATTAAACTATAGCAATAAATTTAGAATATTTTTAATAAAAAATAAATTTAATCCAATAAAAAATTTTTATTAAAAAATAATAATAAAAAAATACAAAAAATATAAAAAAATATAAAAATTACCCAAATAATTTTTATTACAAATCTAACTATATACTATAAATATAATGCTATGTTATAAAAGTTACAATGTAAGTTATATTGTCAGATAAGTTATTACAACCCTACTTTTGATTTTTTTATCACAAAAATAGAAATTTTTGCCGAATTAAAGCCAGAAAAAATTTTACTTAATAGGCTCTGAGTAATTCTGGCCAAATCTTTTAAATATTACTCTTAACTAACAAAATCTAGAATCTGCTATGAAATTTTTTTGTGGCAGCTAGCATTCTTAAGAAAGTTAGGTAGGTATAATGTGAAAATTATATATTACCTATCTAATCTATATTATAGAATATAAAAAGTTTTTATCGATTTTAGATGGGCAATTATCGTGGTATTGTTAATCAAAGTTTTGAAACAGTTGACTTTGTTTTAATAATTGCCTAAATAATTTTTAATTTTGAACAATAATTTCTCAACAGCAAAATTAGTAAAGTTTTTTTATATTAATTTCATGAATCTATAAGATAAAAATAAAAAAAAAACTTTCATCAATTCTTACTATAGTAACCCGTAAGTTTATAAGCATACTGCGCTTTGATTCGATTAGTCAGCTTTGATGATCATTATTACAAGAATTACCTATCTAATCCATATCATAGAAAATAAAAAAAGTTCTCATTGATTTTTAGGTAGGCAATTATTGTGGTATTATCGATCAAAGTTTTGAAACAGCTGACTTTGGTTTAATAATCGCCTAAATTCTTTTTAATTTCAAACAATAATTTCTCAACAGCAAAATTAAAGTTTTTTTATGTTAATTTCATAAATCTATAAGATAAAGATAAAAAAAAACTTTTATCAATTCTTACTGTAGTAGCTCGCTGAGTTTATAGGCATACTGTGCTTTGATTCGATTAGCCAACTTCGATAATCATCAGTACAAGAATTATTAAATGTTTAAAAAATTTAATATATTAGCCCTAAAATTTCAGGTCGGCATTAAGCTATTTCTTTAACAGTTGGTCTGTTTCAAGGTTTTGCATCTAAGCATTTATTCATCAGATATTTGCTGATATGGAAAGTCCCAAATCTGCGATATAAGCACTATGTAAATTATCTTGTAGAATATTACTACTATGCAAGTCTCGATGAATAAGCTTTTGAGAATAAATTATTTGAAGATTAGAAGCAATACAATGCAATAATATCAGTTTATATTTTCATTTCATTTGTGCAATGAACCTATTGAAGTGTATTTGAGAACAAGAATATAATCTCCAGAATTATCTTTTGATATTGCATAGTATTTTAAAAATAAAGGATGTTTAGAACTAATATCACAATATGCCTTTAGCTTTAATATTAAAATAAAACATAGAAAAACAATAAGCATTTAAATAAAAATTACCTCTTTTATAAATTCTTTATTATAAGATTTTGATCCATGGAGTAATTTTAGTGCAATAGCTCTCCAAGCACCATATTTATAGTCTGGCTATTCAGTACAAAATACTGGTACTAAATATATTGATTAACTTGACATTGCTTTGTAGTCTTACCTGATAACTAAAATTAAATCATTTACTTAATTAGTTGAAAATTTATTTCTAAAGTTTATTCTTGCTAATTTTTTAGTTCTAATATCTTATGAACCTAATAGCGATATAGTTTAATTTCAATACATGCTAAATATTAATTATTAAATTAATTAATTAAAAGTCATAATTTTCATCTTTCTAGTAATTTCCTTCACTTAACTACTTAAAAACTGATATAGTATTCAAGCCTTCGCTTAACCACTTAAAACCTAAAGGTAATAACTCTTGAATAATCTACCTGGCTGAACTAAAGTTAAGGTTAAAGCAACTAGTTAAATAAATATTAAGGCTTACTTACTATTTCAGCAATAGTTAAAGTAGAGTTAATTTTGCATTGAGATTATCATAATTCCTAAATGAGTTGCTATAGAAAATTACAGTACTAAATATATACTGCTGTACTGTAATAAAAAAAGTTAATACTGTATATACTGCATAAAAAATGTGTAAAATCTCTGTTTTTGTTGTACAAACTGTGCAAATATAGGTACTTGACATTACAGACAGAAAATGCAACAACTACGTTTTTGATATTTTTACTATAAATGAATCAAAAACATAGTTTCGGTCACCACTTAATGTCTAAAAGTGAATTCTACGCTTAGCTCTGGATAATTAATAATATAATTATAAATTTAAGAAAAAACTTCCATCACTTTGAGTAGTAGATAAAGATAATGATAAATGCCTACTACTGCCAAATTATAATCTTGATTTATATTAATTTGAATTGTGCTACTACATACATATTATTTAATTTATAGTAATGTGTTTCATTTACTTGAAATTTTAA